GGAGAGGACAGGAAAGCTGGTAATAGGGAACCCAAGGTCGAGAAGGGAGAGTGTTGACATGTCATGGGGTTGTTAACCAATGTCATAAAACAATACATGTACTATTTAATGAGAAACTTTGTTCTGTAAACCTTCATCTGAAGTACAATAAAAAAAATTTTTTTTAATAAAATAAAAATACAGCTGTCCCCCCTGTGCAAAGAGGTCTTCAGGAATCCCACAAATCTACTAGTAACTGCTAATATTTGTTCCAAGTGTTGCCTATTTTATCTCCAATTACTTTTTTGGATATATCTGAGTCTTCTGTTTAAACAAAAAAGTTATATCCCAGCTTCAGAGAAATATGTGTACGTGTGTGTTTGTTCACATGGGTGTATAAAGGATCACTGTGAGGAGTTTAGGAAATATAGGAGAAAGAGAGGAGATATCACAATGATCAGGAATCCTAACATGAGGAATTCAAGAGGGTTTCCTATAACATAGACATAGTATAATAAATCAATTTTCCCATCTATATCTCCAAATTCAAATTCTGTATTCTGGGTGAATTGTATGGTATGTGGATTATATCTCAACAAAGCTGTTTAAAAGCCTCCATATTTTACTTCTGGTAACTTGGGTTAAGAGGAAAGGGAAAACTAACTTTTTTTTTTTTTTAATGCTAACTATGTGCTGATCACCGTTCCATACATGTCACTGTCTGTACTCTTCACTAAAACTCAACTAGATAGCTGTTCTACAGGTAAGGAATCTGAGTTGATAGAGGTATACAGCTTGCCCAAGGTCACTGAATAAGTGGCACAACCAGGTATCAAGGATGATTCCAAAACCAACGTTATAATGCAATAAAGGTGCTACTGAATAGTTAGTATTATATAAATACATACTATATAATTATTATGTAATATTATATAATTATACTTTATATAATCTTTCAAAGTAAATGAAAAAAGACTAAGAAATTTTCCTTAATTACTGCATATTCTGAAAATATTTTTGCACATACCACTTTATTTTGTAGAAGGACCAATGTTGTTGTTGTTAGGTGCCATTGAGTATATTCCGACTCTGTGATCGTATGTACAACAGAACGAAACACTGCCCGTTCCTGCACCATCCTCACAATCATTATTATGCTTAAGCCCCTTGTTGCAATCACTGTGTCGATCCATCT